GTGGATCCTAATGGATCCTGTGGATCCTAATGGATCCTGTGGATCCTAATGGGTCCTGGTGGATTTTGATGGATCTTGGTGGACCCTGATGGATCCTGATGGATTGTAGAATAAGTTGTTTGAAGTGTGCCAAAAAGAAGGTGGAAAGAGCTGACGAGGGAAGGTCCCAAAGTGTGACGCTCGATTTCGAATCTGGCATTGGCCATTTTGTAGAGCTCAGTTAGTACAGCACATGATATAAAGGGTTCGTCCCCATAATGGACTTTTAAGGAACTACGTGGTATCACAAAGGATGTCCTATAATGACTGGGAATAAATTGTTAAGGATATTTTTCATAGTTTATATCGAGGTAGAGGGCTGAAATTTTTATCACATACATACATAGGGGTATCCAAAAGTAGTGGCAACGACATTTTAGTGCCACATATTAAGCTTGATAAAAGTTTCTTTTTACAAAGGATGATAGAGAAAAAAATGCCCTTTCTTTCTATGCTGTTTGATCATAGTTCACTTGACATCATACCAACAAAGTCCTAATAAGACTAGTTTTCCTAACATGTGTAACGGTTACAAAAGTTCATATTGTCTTCAATATGCGCATTCTTTTCTTGATCTTTTCTTTGCTTTATTTTCTTTCCTTTATTCTTTTGTCTCACCTCTTCTGAGACTTTATCGTTTATTCATATTAGGATACCCGAAAATTGAAAGTACATAAACAAGTTCAAGAAGTTTTTATTTCATTAAATGTTCAAAGTAATTGCCTTGATTATCTATACACAAGTGCATTCTTTGAATCCATTTATCAAACGTTTTTCTATACTCTTCTTTATCCCAAGAATACATGAACTAGGTTACAGCGTGATGTAACGATTCGGAATTAGTTTGAACAGTTAGATTTCGTTTGATTAAGTCGAATAACCAAAAATCACACGAAGATAGTTCTGGAGAATTGGGTGGTTGTGGTACTTTAGTAACTCTTTCTGAACCAAGATAATCGAGGACATCTTTATGAACATGTACTCCTCCGTTATCATGATGAAGTTTGATGGCATGACTACCCGAGAGAGGTCTTTCTTTCTTGATTTCTTGGATAACCGGTTGCAAACAGTTTTTGATATAATATTGGTGATCGATAGTCTGTCCACGTTTGACACAATGGATGAGAAGAGGACCAATTGATTTAAAGAAAATGCAAAATAAAGTTTTTGAAGCAAGCTTATTTCGTCGCACTATTGCGGATGGAGGATCTTCTTTTGCCACCCAAGCAGCATTGAAAGCATTTCGACCAGTTTGCTGATAGAAAAACCACGATTCATCACCTGTACCACGTCGCATAAACGCCATCTTCCTTCATCAAACCTTGACAGATTTTCTTTGCATATTCGAACTCGTTCACTCCGTTGATAATCCGTTAGCTGTTTCGGTATGTAATAAGCAGTAATTTTTCTAAGTTCCAGATGATCAGATAATATTCTATGAACGGTGCCATAACTTAGACCAGTATGCTCTTGTAATTCTGCTATTGTAACATGAAGATCATCACTAACAATACTACGAATTTCTTCAATATTTTCAGGAGTACTCTCAGTTACAGGTCTTCCGGATCGTTCTTCATCTTCAATTTCTTCTCGACCTTGACGAAACCATTGAGCCCATCTTGCAACTGTTCGATAAGAATGAGCTTCATCACCAAAAACAGTACTTAGCTCGTCGTGAATAGTTCTTGCTTCAATATTAAGTGCAGTACGCACTTTCATGCAGAAACGAAAATTTTCTTTGTCCATTGAAAACAAAAATAAAGAGCGTTAAGATTTGATTTAATTTTACTTCTTTCACTTTCTATAGAATAGGATAGCACACGGCACGTGCACAAAAAGAGGCATGTATCTTTGCATACATATGATAAATAATAAAGTCTCAGAAGAGGTGAGACAAAAGAATAAAGGAAAGAAAATAAAGCAAAGAAAAGATCAAGAAAAGAATGCGCATATTGAAGACAATATGAACTTTTGTAACCGTTACACATGTTAGGAAAACTACACTGTAAAAAAAATCCGTAGAATACTAAACCCAAAAAGGGTTGATGAAAGTGTAACGTATAATAAACCCTTTTTACCGTATGTAAAATTCTCCTAAACCCTTTTTAAGGGTTTAGGAAAGGGTTTAGGAAATTCCTAAACCCTTTCATATACCCTTTCAAAGGGTTTAGGAAAGGGTTTAGAAAGTTCCTAAACCCTTTAAGGGTTTATTATACGTTACACTTTCAACAACCCTTTTAAGGGTTTAGGAAAATCATAAACCCTTTAATATACCCTTACTAAGGGTATATGAACGGGTTTAGGAAATCAATAAACCCTTGCATAAACCCTAAAAAACGGTTTATGACGGTCACTAAGTACGGATGGAATTCAGCAAAGGGTTTAGGAAATGCTCATAAACTCATGTTGGGGTATAGGCAAGGGTTTAGGACACACTCATAAACCCATATAAGGGT